AACGTGATAGATTTGGAGAACTAGGAGAGTTCCCTAAAGAGATGGCTTAAGAGCCGTGAAAGAACAAGAAAAGTATGTCCATAGGCAGATCAGAAAGGATCTTATCAGTTGAGTCAGGGAATCTGTTCTTTAACAGAATATCCTTTTGGTCCAAAGGATATTCATTTCATTCTTCTGACACTTTTTTAGTTTTTGTGGTATTAGTGATTGAACACAAGGCCTGAAACACTGAACTACATTCTCTGGCCTTTTTTTTTTTTCTTTTTTTTTGAAGAGGGCAAGATGTTGAGACAGGCTGTCACTAAGCTTCCCGGGCATGGCTCAGACTGGTGTTTCTCCTGCCCAACTTCCTCAATAACTGAGATTACAGGCATGTACCACTGAACTCAGCTCTTGTAATATTTTAAACACATTTTAATACTGACAAGTTAGTACTTGTTTCTTTCATTGAGCTCTGAGCCTCTTAAGGGCTCAAACCCTGTGTGATGTTTTTCAAATTTGCTGTGCCTAGTTTTCACGTAGAATACACCAAATATAGAAAGGTAAAAGTGAAGGACTTCTCCAAGGTAACATAGCTACTTGGTAGCAGAGATAATGTAATACGGGTGGTTAGGGTATTTTTAAGTGCTGCTTTACATTCCTCAGATTTGAATAAGAAGTAGGAACTGAAATATTTCATTTAATGCAGTCTTCACTATATTGAATTTTTGCTGTTCATGAACATTTTGTCACTAGTCAGGGACATTCAAATCTCAGTTATAATTCATGAGAGACTTTAGAAACTATGGAGTAGGTAATACATAAATTTTGGTAAGTTGTAGTGTGGTCTTGGCATTACATGGATACAATTTGATTTCATTTAAAGTGGTACCTTGGTGCTTATTGTTAATCAATCAGAAGGCTCCACAAGTACCAAAAAAGATGAGCAGCAAACGAATTATTTTGGCTGGAAAGGGTAGCGTATCACAAGGCCATCGACATTAACAAGTTTTAGCTTGCACCTCAAATGACAAGTTCTGGGACAAAATTTTTGTCTCAAAATGTGCCAAGTACCAAATTTGATGAATTTCAAAGCAGTCAAGTGCCAAAGTATGACAGTAGTGCTATTGTTAGCATCAGAGGAAGTATGACCCACTTAAAACAGCAATGGACACTCTAAGGCAGGCCAAGGCAAGTCTAACCTGCCAATCCAAGATAACAAATCTGTACTAAGCTCCAGTATAATGAATGGATACCCATCATTACTGTCAGAAAGTATCACTGGGAAATACTTGAAAGGTCATTTATCTAATTTCTATAGCCATCCGTTAAATACTTTCTATTTTTCTCCCATACTCTAGTATCTCTCCATTCCAACTCAGTCTACAACCTATTGCCCAATGAATCTTAGCTGTGTGATCGTGAGCAAGGTGCCTGACTTCTTGGGGCCTTAGATGTCTTATGTGCAAAGTTAATGGACTGTGATAGGTTTAGCATCAAGTCCCTTAAAAGTACTTAAGGTGGCCAGGGGATTAACTCAGTGGCTTAAGTGCCTTCTTGGCAAATACAAGGTCATGAGTTTGATCCCCAGAAGAAAAAAGCCTAGGGTGTCACTGAGCAGGTTGAGGAAAAGATGGGCCATCAACTGAATTGGCAGGCTTCCGTGTATTCTTTTTAAACACATCAGTCCCAACTTTTTGAGAAATCTCCAGACAGACCTCCACAAAGGCTGTACCAGTCTACACTCCCACCAACAGTGCAGGAGAGTTCCTTTTCCCCCACAGCCTCTCCAGCATTTGTTGTTGGTTTTCTTGATCCTGGCCATTCTTTCAGGAGTGAGATGGTATCTCAGTGTGGTTTTAATTTAAGTAAACATTACATTGTCTCCCTAGTGTAACAAACTGAAAGAGTAAATCGGATCCAAGATGTACAATAGATATTGTGAAAGTGAAAAGGGAAGAAACTACTCAAAAGGAAAGACCAACTGGAATGAGGGAAAAAAGAAAAGAAAGAAGACAAAAGAAAAAAATATATATACATAAACACACAAGGTACTAAGACAATTGTACTACTAATTTCTATTAGTTCATTGAAAAGAAAGATTGGTGCTTATATTGTTTGATCAATTTTTATAACTATACTTAGTAATCCAAGCAACTACTTTGAAGATATGCAATATATTAGCTATTGTTAATCCCCTACTAGTTTGTTTTGAAACTCTATCTCATTATTTTTGTTTTTTCTCTTTAAAATAAAATAAAATTGATATTTCAAAAAAAAATAAACACATCAGTCATTTTAGAAACTACAGTTTTCTTGAAAATTTAGTTTGGAAAAGAGTTATACTACTACAAAAAGTTTAAGTACAAAATAGTTTTATAATTTCTAAGGACCCATTTCCTTTAAACTAGGATTTTGAAAAATCTCACACACAAAAGAAAATTAATATGATAAAGTTTTTATGAACAGAAATATAATAAATAACTCATTTGTATTCCTTTTTATCACTTCTTTTTACAGTAATCTTGAGGTCCTTTCAAAGATGAAATGCAATGCTTAAAATGAAAATTTTACTATGTAATAGGGACTCTGAAAGTAATTAACAACTCCCACAAATATTTTGAAAATCGTAGAAAATGGTTTGTAAAGTTCAGAACCATTCAAATTCTGCATATTTTTCCACTTAGGTAACAGTAAAAATATGTATTAATCCAAGTAAATGCCAGTAAGTTATTAGCGTCACAATTATTGTTTTCAACTCTCCTCCACAAATACTGTGTTTTTATTCATGGTCAAGGTTGATCCTTAAAGTTCAGTTTACTAGAGTGACTACAGGTACTGTACCAGAAAACAAAATAAGTAATTCACCACAGCCTCACTTGTTCCTCATATGATAAAGCAGGGGTTGCAAGGAAAGGTTTAATAGAATCACCTGGGAAGACTTTTCAACCTTCACATAGGCCCCAGTGTTCTCTCTCTCTTGTAAAGCACGATTCTAGCTTGGAGCTTCGCAGTGTCCTACATGAAAGTTTTTCTTCATCTTTCTAAATCCTACCCCAAGGAAGGTTAATGGAGTACAAATAATTGAACGCAAAAGACAGCAGCTTTGTCACAAATTGTTGGGTAAGTCATTAACCTTTCCTCTGATAATTGAGGTTCCTTCTTTCCCCTTTGAAATTCTATTTCTTCATGTCATGTCTGAGCAGCCGTTTGAACTCCTAGCATGGAATGATTTGTCAGTTCTTGGATTTCCAACAGCCTATGCAACACTATCCTATATTGTCCTCTACTTGCTTTTATATAAAAATGTTTTTCCTTCCCAACCATATTTAATTTTTTTTCTAGTACTAGGGATTGAACCTAGGACATGTTTTATTTTTTAAGATCCAAGCGCATTTATTAGAAAAGAAGCAAGTGATTATATCCCCATCTTTCCTTGAGAAATAAAAAAATAACAGAAAAAAACTCAAAAATGAATAGAAGAAAATAATAAAGATCAGAAAACATAACCCCTTATCAAATTGCCAACATCAGTTTTCCACATAGATTAACATTTAGTTTAAAATATATTTTAAAAAGTTTATTTTGGGCGCAGGTAGTGCACCTTCTATCCAAATCTCCTAAGTCAACGCAGGGAATATCTGAAGGTAATCAGTTAAGTATTTATACTGATTTGCTGAAAGCAATGATGTCTTTCCTTTCAAAGTCCTGGAATTGTATTTTACATCAGTATTGTCTAGTAGAAATATATGACCCACAAATGTAACTTTAAATTCTCTGGTAGTTATTCTTTTTAAAAATGGAGAAACAGGGGTTGGGGATTTAGCACAGTGGCGTAAGGCCTGCTTGGCAAACGCAAGGTTGTGAGCTGTACCAAAAAGAAAAAAAAATGGATAAACAAGTGAAACTAATTTTATGAATATTTAACCCAACATATTAAAATATTATGATTTCCACACAGTCAATGTAAAAAATTGAAATAGTTTACATTTTTTGTGTGTAATGTCTTCAAAATCTGGTTTGTAGTTTATACGTACATCACATCGCAATTTAGCCACATTCAAATAATAACCACATTCAAATGTTTCTTAGCCATCTATTAAACAGCCTGCATGATTGGGACACTTTCCAAACGGATCACAGTACTCCTTTTTTAGAGGTCCAAGGATGAATTAGATTCGTTTTAGTAAGTGATATAATCGCTATTATACAATGTGGTGGGTGCTGTGATAGGGACGCACAGAAGAAACCCTAACTAGTTAGGTCAGGTGTGGGGGGGGGCGGGGAGTCAAAGAAGGTTGCACAGAGGAAGTAACTTTTGACCTGCGAACTAGGTGGCCTGAAAGAGACCGGCTGTAGGGAGATATAAGTCCCAGGTTATCCCTTTATCTGCGCTAAGGAAAGGCTCTACAGGGTGCCAGCCCAGAGGGCGTGAGGGAGTATGTGGAAAGGAAAAGGTAACTTTAAGGGGAACAGGGTAGGGGAGAATTGGTTGGGCGGAACCCGGAGCGCTATCTGGTGGGTGATGAAAACCGGAAGATGGCGCCAAGTGTACTTCGCATTCGGGTGACCAGACCTGCGAACTGTCAGAGCGGCGTGGCAGCTGGACTGCCTGCCTGTCGAAACTCCTCAATTTGAGGAGCCATTCGCGAGGTAAGGCACACTCCTGACTTGTTCGTAAAGCCACCCCGTCCCCGCACTCGCCCTCACACGTTTTCTCGTGCTCGGAATTAAGGCTTGCCACCCCGGAGTCTGAGACCCCACGAAACTTCCCAGCCCAGCGTCAGTCACGAGATCATGAAATTGTGCCTAGGGTTTTGCTTGTGTATTTGTTTTTAACAGACGCCTATGGCTTGTAACAGGTTTCCTGGTAAAATGAGTCTGTGGAAACGGTTGCTAGGGCCGGCGAATTGCTGCTCCCAGGAGTCAACCAACGCTTTGGTAACAATTAAGGGTCTGGCCAATGCAGCGCCACTTCCGGTGTCTTTGTTGCTCGCGCGATTCACTTTAGCGAGGTTGCCTTTGACCCCGGAAGTCAGCCTCTCTGGTTCCTCCCTCTCCAAGATGGCAGCTTCTGAAGACGGATTAGAGTTACCTCGACTTCCTGAGCTGTTTGAAACCAGCAAACAGCTTCTGGAGGAAGTAGAAGTAACGAATGAACCCACTGGCTCCGGGACAATCCAGGATAAAGTGTTCAAGGGACTGGACCTACTTGAGAAGGCTGCCGAAATGTTATCGCAGCTCGATTTGTTCAGGTATGGGGGAAAGGGTAATAACGGCAGAGAGCGAAGATAATACTGATAATTATCAAGGATGGAGCCACTGTGGCTGGGTGTAAAGCACCTTTAAGACCTTTATGTATCTACTTCTAGCTGCGATCTTGTGTACATTGTTTACATTGTCCATCTCTCATCTGAGATGGTTGTTAACCCTCGATTCTGCTCCCTAGTGTCCTCTGACTGCATAGGCATTGGGTGTGAACACAGCCACTTAAATTGAAACTGGCTGCTGTTGACTTTGTTTCACTCTCTCCCAGTCCTCCTCTTTCCGAGCAAGCAAAAGTCACAGTTCGAATGCTAAACCAGGCTTTACAGCCTCCTTTTTTGCTCTTTCCAGCCGAAATGAAGATTTAGAAGAAATTGCTTCCATCGATCTGAAGTACCTGATGGTGCCAGCGTTTCAAGGAGCCCTCACCATGAAACAAGTCAACCCCAGCAAGCGTCTAGATCATTTACAGCGGGCTCGAGAACATTTTATAAACTACTTAACTCAGTGCCATTATTATCATGTGGCAGAGTTTCAGCTGCCCAAAACCAATAACAACACAGCTGAAAAGAACACTGCTAGTTCCTCCGTGGCCTATGCTAACCTCGTTACTATGGCTTCTCAAAGAAAGGCTAAAATAGAGAGGTGGGTCAATAGCTATGATTCAAGGGTTACCCAGGGGCAATGCACCTAGGCTGGGGCAATGCGTGTGTTTTTGTGTGTATGGGAGACAAAATGGTGTATGCCTTGGTTCTTATTGAGTATAAGCTCTGAGGAGAGCAAATTTTGCTGAGTTTTTCAAAAAGCCTCTGCCTTTGTTGAAGTGATTTTTGTCTAACCACTAGACCTCTACTAGCTTATGGTTTTGAATGGCAACAATGTACTTTAGCAAAATGTTTTGCAACCTCTACCACATTACAGCCTGATAATATACATACACGGTAAATATCTTTGAAGGGCATACATCTCAGAGGTGTTGTCTATTAATGTTTTATTTATTGAGTAGCTCTCTTCTAACAAGAAAACTGAGGGGCTGGGGATTGAGCTCAGCGGCATAAGCGCCTGCCTTGCAAGCAGGCAGTCGTGAGTTCGATCCCTGGTACCGATAAAAAATGAAAAAGACAAAAAAAAAAAAAGAAAACTGAATCAGAAATATAATAGCTTAAACTGGGAGGAATTCATAGTCTGGTGAAGAAAATGCATATAGAAACAATATCAGAATAAATTTATGTGATAGATGGACAAGGTACTAGGAGGGCACATATCCAAAGGTGCAGGGGAGAAAAGGCTCCCTGGAAAAGGTAATTCCTGTCATGAGTTATGGATAAATAATATTGTCCAGAGGAACAGGAGAGGAATGCATTCGGCCAGCAGAAGTAATGGCATTAGTAAAATCACGGGGACGTTAACCACTTACCAGTCCAATTATTTAAATACAGGATGATCACAAATTGCAAATTTTGTGATCACAATTTTTCGTGATTTTTTATAAGGTAACAGGAAATATAAAAAGGATATTTATTGAGTACACAAATCTACTGGCTGTCATCACACCTGCCCAAGCAACCCATAGAATAATCAACATGTAAACAAATGTGTTGCCCAAGTAACCATGGGGTAAACAGTTAAGTGATGCTGAAGCACAAAGGATATGAAAGAGAGCAGGAAGGAATGATGTTGAAGAATATAGGGTCAAGACACATGTGATTGGAATGCGAGAAAGACTTGTTGCTAAGAGTTTGGGAAGGTGTTTGAATTCCAATTTCGTCATTTAATTACTCTTGATTTAGAGCAATTTACTTGCTTTCCCCAGCTGTAAAATTGAAATCATAATAGTTCCTTCCTCACAGAGAGTCTTATGAGGACTAAAAGAGAAATATATATAAAGCATTTCATACAGTATCCGATAGAATAACCATTCGAAGTCACTTATGATTGTATATTTGTGGCTAAGAGTTGCAGAATCAGAAACCTGGGTTTGAGTCCCAGCTTATTTATAAGCCTTTGGATTTTGGATAAGTTATTTAGCCTATCTGAGCCTCAGGTTTCCTCCTATGTGAAATCTAAGTAATAATGATACATATTTTGTAGGGTTAAGAAGCATAAATGAGATAAACACTTAAAGCTGCATAGTATCTAATACCTAGTATTTTATAATTAACTTATAAATTATATTATTATATTAACTTACAAATTATTATTATAGTTCATTTTAGATTTGTCACGCTTTTTAAGTTGGTCTTTCAGGTTGGTTGGGCTTACTTAGGTTGGTAACTGGGATCCACTGAAAAATTTTATTTCTTTTATAAAAGTAACATGGTTATATTTGCATTTTAACTATCATACTAGACCTAGTTAGATCACATATGATGACAGTTCACCAGGGCAATGACAGAGCGATACAGGAAATATATTTAGAAGGAATGACTGCAGAAAACTTGATGAACTAATTGACTGTGGGAGGTAAAATAGAAGGAAACAGCAAGGAAGATGTCCATGTTTCTGATTAAGGTGGATAGCTGTGGAATTTATTGAGACAGAATTGAGGAAGACCAGATCAGGGGATGGGGAGAATATACATTCAATGTTAGCACATGTTGAACTGATATCTGGAAGACATCCAAGTAGAGGTATCTGATAAACATGAAGCTCAGAGGTGAAGTCTGATCTAGACTACTAAAAATTGGTTGATTTATTCAAGTATTTATTTATTGAGATCTTCTCGTGCTGGGAACTGTTTTAGATATTAGAGAATCAGACAAAATCACTGCCATCAAGGAGCTTATATTCTAGTGGAGACAGAATAAGCTACTAAATGGTAAGGTAAGTTCAGGAGGTAAGGGCTGTGAAGAATAATAAAATATGGTTACAAAATAGTGATTGACAGTGAATGACTTTTTGGGAATATAGGATAGACTGTATAAAGTAGAATTCATTATCTCATCCTCTATAAGAAATTGAGAGCAGCCCATTAACATAAACAATGAATTTTGTATCCATATAATTATTCAAACATGACTAGAGGGCTGGGCATTTAGCTCAGTGGTGTAAGGACCTGCCAGGCAAGCACAAGGTCATGAGTTCAAGCCCTGGTACCAAACATGATTATAAATACCACAGAGATACAGTGTTGCATAGAAAGATAAGGGAGTTATTATATTTTATTGGAATGAAGAGATGATGTTAGAATGTCACTACATATAAGTTGAGTCTTAAAGATGTCCTGAATGTAAAAGTATGCAAAACAAGAATATTTTAAAAATCAAGAATAAGCATTAGCACTCATAGATGTTATTGTTACCTTTTTGGTCTATTTTCTTTCAAATATATAGTTATTTTAGCTAATAAATTGGAATAATACTGTAAATAGAGCTTTTTATCTTGTTTTTTAACCTAATATAGTTCCCAATGTATTTTGAAGCCATCATATTTAATGGTTATGTAATATTCCATTCTGTAGTTAGTTGTACCATAACTATTTAAGCTAATCTGTTGTCAGATATTTAGAATATCTTTTTGCTATCCTAATACTATCAACAAACTTTTTTTTTTGGTATGAAGATTGAACCCAGGATCTTGTGTACTTCTGTCATTGTTCCCTGGGGATAGATTTCTAGAAAGATCAGTGACTAGATAAAAGATACTTGGTAACAATGTTGCTTCTACAATAACAAAGTTTCATGGCATGTGGCTCTGCATTAGTCCTGGATGGTTATTTAGAAAGTTAGAAAATCTGTTTAGGCAAACAGAAGGTATCTTATGTTTCTTTGGCCTGCAAGCTTGATCATTGAATGAACATTTTTTAAAGCTTACAGATAGCAACACATTTATGCTATTGGTTCCCATGTTCATATCACTAGCCCAGTCCCCAGATCCATACTTTAATACCCTTGAGTGTTTCAGACATCTCAGACTTAACATGCCATACAGTTAAACCCTTCACTTTTTTTGTGTTCTTGATGCCTCACACACAACAGGTGAGTGCTCTACAGTTGAGCTAAACCTCCAGCTGAAACCCTTGACTTTGTGAACCCAAGTGTGCCCCCCGGTCCAGGTCTTTACTGTCTCAATAAGTTCACCACAATTTGCCCAGATTTGTAAGCAGTAAACCTAAGTGTTAGCTTCAACTCCCTTTCTCCAGATTTCTTCATCCAGTCTATTAGTTCTATCTATACAGGGTATCTTCTGTCCTGTCACTCTGCATCTCCACTAGCGTATTATCAGAATGTCTCTCAGCCAAACCACTGACTACAGTGCCCTCCATGATCTGGTGCCTGTCTCTTTAGTCTCACTGAGTGTCATTCTCCCCTAATTCATTAGTGCTTGCCTTTCAGTTCTTTAGACTGATGCATCTCTTTCCTTCTAAAGACTCTCTACATGTTCTTTTTGCATGGCATGCTGTTCATATAGCAAATTCATATTTTTGGTTACAGTTTAAATATCACTCTTCGGAGAGGCCTTTCCAGACTAGTCTCCTTAAGGAATTAACATATTTCATTATTTTGTTCCATGTTTGTTTCTTTAATGGCAGTTATTTCATGTGAAGTTGTTTCATGTGTGTGTCTTTCTGGGGTTTTTTCTCCCTACTAAAATACGTACTCCATGAAGGCAGAAGCAATTTCCCTCTTCAGTGTGGTATGGCTGGCACAGAGTCTGGCCTGTAGGAGGTCCTCAAACATTATTTACTGTTTAACAGGAGAAACAGTGTGAACAAAAGCCCAAAGGCAGGTAGATTAAAATACATTTAGGGAATGGATAATAGTCTAGTTTGGCAAAAGCTAAGAGTAATATAGGCAGAGGTCTGCATTGGGAGATTATGTGTATATAGAATATTGAAAGAAAAAGGAGGCAAAAAGATAAGTTAGCAGTACTCCTAACTAGGATCAAGTGACGCAAATGAACTTGTAGCTGTTGGAGACTAGATTTGCAAGAAGTATTTAGAAAACATTGGGAGCTGCCATTTCCATGATCAGGTAGAAATCTACAATTAAAACTTAATAGACTGCTTTTTGATTGATGTAAAAAAAATTAGGAGCCTCTTTGGTGAATATGGATGACTTTGCCAAGGTAAACTTTGTAAAAGATAAAAAAGATAAGGACTAAACCTTGGGCCAAGCTAAAGGAGAAAGAAAAAGGAAAGAACTCAGGTAAGAGACTCACCAAAGTACAAATAGAACGCTTTACCGAAGCATGGGGCAAGACGCAGATATTGAATCCACTGAAACCTCTTCCTATGTATCTTTCCATACTGTAGCATTTAATTCATGTTAATCATAGTGTACCAGTTAGTCTCTAGATTTGCAAATCTTCAAGGTCAGAGACCTTGACTAATTGTATCTTAGTATACTAATTGTATCCCTTGGTGCCTAAACCAGTAATTGAATCATGGTAAGAACTTGTAGGTGTTTCGGGAGGGACAGATAAAGTAGTAATCTGAAAGATGGAAGCAATATGGTATAACAGGAGAAGATTCTTTGGAATCACAGTCATGAGATGACCAATATCTGACACAGTTTAAATGGGGCATCGTATTTCTTTACACCTCCTAGCCTCAATTTCCTTATGCCAATTTCTGTATTGCTGCTTACAAAGCATTTCATATGCATTTTTCCATTTGATTCTCTTACCCCATGAAGTAGACCTTCATTTTCAAGATACAGAAATGGACTTTGAGAATTGACTTGAGTGAACTTTTAGCTAGTATGGTTTAAACTCAGGTCTTCAGTTCTCATACTTTCTAAAGCATAGAAAAAGAAGAGTCCTCATTTGTTTTTTGTTTTGTTGTTTTTTTGAGACAGGGTCTCACTGTGCAGTTCAGGCTGGCCTTGAGCTCATTTGTAGCCCAGGCTGGTCTTGAACTCAGAACGATCCTCCTGCCCCAGCCTCCCAAGAAGAGTCCTCATTTGAAAAAAAAAAGTGTTGAGTAAAAGTGTTTCTAAGATGAAAAGGCACCAGTTGAGGGAAACATTGTAGCTGCTAATGACTAGGAGGTGAGAATGCAGCCTGGAAGGATATGAGTAGGAGACTAGATGGATAAGAAAAGTGGAGTAACAAAGATAGCTCCTTTAAAGACAAAAGAGTAAGGAAGAAAGGGTGAGCAGATCTCTGTGGCACACCTTTGCAATTTTAGCTGCTTGGGCAGTATGGAGTCTCCATAAAAGATGAACAGAAAGGTAAAACTTGATCATAAGGGTTTGTAGTTTACCTATTTGACATAAATTTATAATTTCTTACCTCTCTTCATTAGCTTGGAAACAGAACAAGGGAATAATGAAAGTTGCCCAGTGTCAGAAGTTTCATAGGGATAGGAGAGATTGTAAATTTCTGTATCATGTCCTACCATGGGTGATCTAGGACAGAGCCAAGTCTAGAACAGTGAAGCCTAAGTTTCCACCTTGGGTAGTGTTGCTAACTGTCCTCTGATTTCACTAAGGCAAAGTTTATCTTACTAGTTTTCAAAATGAGCACTCATTTTAAGAAAGGCTTTTTTTTTGCCAAGATAAAAAGATTTTAAAAATATACTTAAAAATTAGGTACTGAGGAGATGGAAGTCATAGAAGCAAGGAAGAGAAAAGGAAAGGATCAGAGTATGAGCTATACACAAGGAGGATGGAAAAAGCAAATGAACCTTATTCAGAGGACCATTAAATGATCCAGAATCTACCTTGGGTTGTACACATTCCTGTTGTTTGTCCTGTGATGTAGGTCCCTCCAGGAAAGAGTAGGGGGGTAGCAGTAGAACTGATTTTGATTTAAGCATCCAGAAGTAATATCCTAATAGCATTCATGAGCTAGAAGTTGACCTTTGTAGTGTTTCACTCAGAAGGCTCCCATGATGATGATATAAAAGTTGTTTGTAACAGAAAATACTAATGCCTTCTGATTTGGGTCAACATCTGCAGAGGAATTTATGGTTCTGGAGGTCTGGAGTGGGGTTCTGAGCAAACAGATCAAGATATTTTTCTTGGAAATCTTGGTGTTCTTTGACTCATCTCTGTCTCAAGCCCTCACATATAGTAGGTAAACTTGACCTGTTTTATATTTTAAATAAACCTACATTTCACTGCTTCCAACACTGCCTGCCTATTTCAAGTCACTGTCTCACGTTGTTTGTGGCATTATCCTCTTAGTTGCTTTCCTTTCTTGTACCCTTGTCTCCCAGCCCTCACTCCACCCAACAGAGTGGCATTTTTAAAAAAAACCTTAATCCGTTCTGTGCAGGTCACGTATTCTATTGAGAAACCTCTAGTGACTTTCAGGTACCATTCAGAATACCTCGTGGTATTTGGTGTTTGGATATCATAGCTTATGAAGTTCTACATGTTATTTTCTTGGCTGCCTTTCTGACCTGATTTCCTATTAGTCCTCATTCCATTCCACCTACACCAGCCTTATTTCCCAAATATGCCAGGCCTGGTACTCTTCCCTCCCCAGGACCTTTGTGTTTTAGAACAATCTTGCACATATTGGTATAGCTTGCTTCCTGGTTTCCTTGAAGCCTTTACTCAAGTATCATTTCTTGAGAGTGGTCTTTCCTGACCACCTTATATATAATAACATTCCTATTTTCGCACTATCACTATCCACTTCACCATGCTTTTAACTGCTTTATAGTACTTATCACCACATGACTCTTCTATTTTTTCCTACTAGAATGAAAGTGAAAGCAAGGATGTTCTTTTATAAACTGTTGTTTCCAGCACTAACAGTACTTGTCACACAATAGGTACTCTGGAAGTATTGAAAGGTGGATGATGATTATGATAGAGTGTATCCTGAAAGAGGCAGCCAAGGTGGTTATGAGTCCTTGAATTTTAGATAAGGATGAGTCAGAAGAACTGGGAATGTTTTGCTCTGAACAAGAAAAGAAATGACCATTTTTCAAGCTGTTTCACAAAGAATTCCTTTATCAATGGCAGATAAAATGAGGCCTAAGATTCTATAATGTTTTGAAGGTAAAACTTGAATAAAACACTTAATGGGGATGCACTGAGTGATACTAAACACTCAGCCAAATAAAGGATGATAGAATCAAATGGCTAAGATATTCTCATCCTTTGATTGCAGGACTTGTTGAGATCAGGTCACATCTATATTTTTCTGGCTTCAGAATGTTATATCTCAGTTGCTCCTGGCCCTTCCTTGACTTTGTGGTCTGGTTAACTCTTGTAACAAACTCTGGGTTATAAAATAAGTATTCCTGCCGATGTGGAAATCTACATGCTGGACATTTGGAAAGGTAAAATATTACTGTGGCTTTCTTTTGAAATAATTTCTCTTTTATTTTTAAGTTCATGAGTAATGCTTTTCTGTGAAACAGGTACAAGCAGAAGAAAGAGGTGGAACATAGGTTGTCTACACTAAAATCTGCTGTGGAAAGTGGTCAAGCAGATGATGAGCAAGTTCGTGAATATTACCTCCTTCACCTTCGGAGGTGGATTGGAATCAGCTTAGAAGAGGTTGAGAGCATTGACCAGGAAATAAAGATCCTGAGAGAAAAAGACTCTTCAAGAGAGGTAAGCTTAGTCACTGCTCACATAAGAAAAGCTGCTGTCAGAGATTTGAATATTCTTTGGGAAAGTAATCAAATTTAAATCTTCATAAGTTTTCATAAAATCATTGTTCATATTAGCATGAGTAAAAAAGGCTGGTGGTTTACTGAAGTTTCGTTTTCTTTAGGTTATAGTAGTATTTCCAGTGCTTTCTAATCTATACACACTTGTAGTTATTTTTAATTTTGTGATGTAGCATGGGGAACAAACCTTCCTGAAATAATAAGTGGTTTTGGCTGTGGGAGGTTGTAGCTGTTAGAGGAAGGCGTAAGGAGGGAGAAAGGCCTTGAAAATGTGCTTAACTGTAGTAGAAAATGATGGGGATGTGTAAAAAAAACTGGAGAAAACAGAAAGAAAAAGGATAAAGCAAAAGACCAGGGAATGTGTTTAAGTTGTGGAAGAAATTAGAATTCAACCTTATATAATAATTTGCTCATACCTTTAAATCTCCCAAGTAGAAGGCTAGTAATAGAGGAGTTATATCTTCATTGACAGAAGGCCCAGAATACTGGTAAAGAAAATGATATAACACATATTGGCTGTCTTTGAAAATAACCCTTTCTTGGTGCTCCTGCTTCAAAAAAACAGGCTCTGCTTCCACTTGGCCTTTGGTATAGAATACAGTGTGAATTGAGCTGAGTTTGTCAGTGGGTCACAGGCATTTATTTAAATCCTCAGAGAAGCCGCTTCCAAACTTAATTTGTACTAACTAGCCTCTGAAGCGCTTGCCTCAAAATAATGTCAACCTAATTCTTTGAATTAAAGGATTAAAAAATGAACAATTAGTATTCTAAGGCCATGTAAGGCCCCTTATCTAGATGAGTAGTTTTCAAATATTTTGAGGCTGGGCTCTTCTAAGTCCTACCCTGTCCCCTTTGGTGTTTTGTTTTTTTAAATGCTCTTTCATGTGGTATTGGAATTGGCTCTGGAAATGTTGGAGTTGGAACCAAGTGAGTACCTTTGCTTTAGCCATGCTTTGTTTCAGTCTGCCCCTAGTAGGCCAAAGTTCCATGAAATCTTTTTTGTATACCTTCATATAAAAACTGCTAATCTATCCTTCCCTCTTTTGTTTAGGAGCATCCATTTTTAAAACACCTAAGACTTCTTGACAATTAATAGTTATAGTTCTATTGGAAAGGGTTGTAGAAAGGTCTTAATAATTCAGCTTTTCGGGCTGGGGCCAGGGATTTAGCTTAGCAGCGTAAGTGCCTTGCTGGCAAGCACAAGGTCATAAGTTCGATCCCTGGTTTTAAAAAAAAATGATGCTTTCTTGGGCTGAGGATTTAGCTCAGCTGTATAAGCGCCTGTCTGGCCAGTGTGAGGTCATGAGTTCGATCCCTGGTACCAAAAAAAAAAAAAAAAATGATTTTCCTTTGAAAGCCAGGCTGAGGAAAAGGGCATCAAATTTAGCTCAAGGCATTTAGATAGATCATAGAAGGGGACTCTAGAATTTCCCTTTTTCGAGAGGGTATTTTAAAGCCAACCAGTTTTTCCCTTGTGGTAAAAAAGATCCCTAGGAGACGTTTTCCTTTCTGTCTTCTTAGCAAGCTATTCAAGCTCCCTCAGGAGAATTATATTTTAAAGACTACTAAGTAGAAAGCAGGTGAATCTTGAGCTTTTGCTCACTAGAATACTTTTTTCCCCTTAAATCAAGAACAGATTTATTTATTACTTATAATTTCTAGAGGCTGGTAAGTCAAGGGGCCCACATCTGATACAAACCTCCTTTTGCAGCCTCTCATGGTATAGAAAAGGCAGGAGAACATACATGGGCATGTATGCACACATGAGAGGGGCGGGGAACCCAACCTGTCTTTTCATCAGGAACCCACTCCCATGCTAACTAACCTGTTTAACACCAGAATACTTTAGAGCAAGAGTATGCATCATAGTATGGATCAAATGGCAAATGTACCTCTGAAATTAATTTTTTTATCAGGCATCAACTTCTCACTCACCTCTTCAGGACAGACCTCCAGTGAAATCCTTCATACTCACTCGTGACAAGGCCCAAGCCAAGTAGGTAGTACTAGAAAGTGGTTTGCGTTTGCATTTCCTGTTTTTGTGGGTTTTGACAATGCATGAGTAATACATGGAATGCACATTGTGGGAAAGTTATAACTTCACCTATGGAGGCTGTTCTGTCATGAAAATCATATTAACTGTACTAATTGGGTATGGTGGCATAGGCCTGTAATGCCAGTACTTGGGAGACTGAAGCAAGATTGCCATAAGTTCAAGGCCAGCCTGAGCTACATAGTCAAGGCTAGCTTGAACCATGTAACAAAACCTTGTCTTAAAACAAAACAAAAAAACAGAGTGATGTTTAACATCCCGATACTTTATCCAAGTTATCTTTTTCAGACATTTGCATAAGGAATCTAATAAAGCAAGAAGATAAAGAATCTAATGATGTACTTAGAAAATTTTTCTATTATTGTCATTCTTGATACCTTAGCTGCAGTTCTCAAAAGGGCATTATTGCATATTTATTATTTAATTTTGAGTTATTGATGCTATTCCTTAAGTTGGCAAAAAATTCTCTGAACTTTTCAGAGCAATTAACTACAAATTCCATTTCACAATGGCATCACTACTCTGTGGGGCTTTAGTTTCTGGGATTACTTATTGTGAGATGATCTGGGCTATTTTTCTTTTCATGAAAAGTCTTTAATGCCTCTTTTTGGTGCCTCTTTTTATACATCTTCATAGGAGGGAAACAAGGCTGAAACAGATATAGACCTTGTCATTTAAAATGAGACTTTTTAATGCTACTATTTTTCTTTAGTTTTCTGAAGGCAATGTGATTTTTACAGAGTATTTGGAGCTGGTTATCCAAGTCTGGCAACTATGACAGTGAGTGACTGGTATGAACAGCATCGGAAATATGGAGCATTACCAGACCAGGGAATAGCCAAGGCAACATCAGGTATGAAGAGGGGGGAGGCAAATACTTGCTCTATTGTCTCCTTACTCCCTCAAATTAAACTCTGATCAAGTATTGTCACCCTTTAGGAACAGAAGTAGTCTGGGCAAAGATTCTGAGTAATTGAAAGATTCTAGGCCAAAAAAGAAGAAAGAAAGAAAAAGAAAAGAAAAGAAAAGAAAAGATTCACCAGGTATGCTGGCACATGTCTGAAATACCAGCTACTTGTGAGCCAAAGACAGAAGGATTCCAAGTTCTAGGCCAACCTGAACAACTTGGCAAGGCCCTGTCTCAAAATAAAATTTAAAAAAGACTACACATATAACCCACTGATAGAGTGCCCCTGCGTTTGATCTCCAGTATTACAAAAAAAAAAAAAAAAAAAGAATTTGTATTTGTTTTTGTTTTTGTTTTTTAGCAGCATAGTTTTGGAATCTTTCTAAATATCATGACATAAGAATAACAACCAGATAAAAAAACTAAAATCCATGGACAATAGTTCCATTTCTGGTATGATGGAGCAAGTTGTACCAGGCCAACCCCTCCAGGTAATAATTACAAATTGAACAAAATACATTTTTTTAAAAAACACAATTACCTAAAGACTCTGAGGGTGACTAAAAGCAGGATAAAATGGAAGGAAGTCAGCACTTAGGAGAGAATGGGACTTGAAATTGCTTGAGAACAGGGACTTTGACTTCTTATATCCTTGGTGTCCAACTTGGTGTTGGGATCATAGTAGGAACTCAAAAGTGGAAGAGTTGTAAGAAGAGAGTGGCCATCAGAAAGTTGAAAGCACTCTGGTAAAGCAGAAAAATCATACACAGATCTGGAGTGACCAGTCCTTTTCCTGCCACGTAACAATTGACACATCAGCCTCTCTGAACTTGTTTTTTTCTTCTGACCCTCGTAAAAGCAGACATTCTAATTCCGACTTTAAAGTGAGAGCATGATCTCTGAAAACTGATTTACCACACCATAGTTAATAAATGATTGGGCTAGGATTTAAATTTAGACCTTCAAAATCCTAGTTTTAGTACTACTTCCATTTTAGCATAGAAAAGATTACCATTTAAAGAGTTTCCTGATTTTTTTTTAATTTTTAAAATTTATTTTTATTATTACTGCTTTTAACCTGTGGACAGACTGCAGTTTCTGTGATGCAGATTAGCTGAAATGTAGATAGAAACTTGTGATCTTATTGTTTGAGGAATAAGAACTGAGTTCAGGGTAACCATAGCAGCTAAAAATAAAGGATGATATCCATCCTGGAGAGGAGAGAACTACAAAGGAAGAGCCTTATTTCTGTATATAGACCACATCAAAATCACTGGCTGACTCCTGAACTCTGTTTACAGAATGGACTCTCTATGCACCTTAGCTAACACTAAAATAACTCAATGGAGAACTCAACTGTTTCCCCATGCAAGATAGAACTTGGCATTTTGGTTCTAGACAAGTTAATTGCCTTCTAGAATTAAAAAATCTGTATTCTAGAGCAGTGAAACAGTACAGTGCTCCTCAGCTTAGGATAGGTTCACATCCTGATGAACCCATCATAAACTGAAAATGTTGTAAATTGAAAATGCATTTAATACACCTAACCTATCAATCATCATAGCTTAGACACAGCACTCTGGAGTACAGATCAGTTAGCCTTGTGATCTCATGACTGACTATTTGCCATGGTTTATTTCTGCCATCAACAGAATCATACTGCATATTGCTATCATGGAAAAGGATCAGTTTAAAATTCAGAATAGTTTTTACTGAATATGTATCACTTGTGTCACTGTGTAGTCAAAAAATAATTTGAGCCATCATAAGTCAGGGGCTACCTGTATATTATTCATAATGTCTAGAATTCAATCTTAAGCTATTAGACATGAAAAAAAAAGCCAGAAAATGTGACTTATTTAAGAGGAAAGGCAATCAATAGGTACCAGCCCCAAGATAATTCAGGTGTTAGAAATAGCATACAAGGACTTTACATAGCTATTATTGTCCTTAAGATCAGAGTAGAAAAATGCTTGTAGTGAATGAAAAGATAAGTAATCTCAGGAGAAAAACTATACCCTAAATATTCTGGAACTAGAACATAAAATCAACTACATAAGGTTCTACAATAATAACCTGGGAGAAGAGAGAACACAGTCAGCTCAAAGTAAATAAAGGAAACAAGAAAGAGAAGTCTAGAGGTGGTGATGGTAATCCATAATCCATGGAAATCGAACATGTATACACCTCCATGACTTAATTGTTTTACTCCTCAGTATATATGTAAGCTAAAGGAGACCATAATTTTTCATGGCATCATTATTTGCAGGACCCCACAGTGTACACTACTCAAATGCCCATAAATATTAAAATAGAGACGTGAATTTTTGTGTATTCACACAGTGGACTTCTGTGTGGCAGTAAAATTAAATTATAGTTCTTCATCAAATCTAGCCAAATCTTGCAAGTCTAATTATGATTTAAAAAGCCAGATTTCATTCCATTCATATAAAGTTTAAAAACTTCATGTGAATTACATGATTCCATTTTTATGGAATTCAAAAGCAGAGTGAAACTTCTATGTGTCACTCAGTGGAATTGGATCTGAGGGGGCTTCTGAGGAGTAAGTAGTATTTTGTAACTGGGTAGTGATTAATGGACATGTTGAGTACATGTGAAAATTCATTAAATTAAACTTGTATTCATGAAGAAACATGAAATACTTCAAAAATGCTAAAAACAAAAACCTCATAGATATAATTATGAAAATAGCTCTCAGTGTATCCCCATGACCCATAAATAAAAGCAAGTAAGGGCAAATCACCCTTAGGCACAATATGAACAGGTTGTTGGTATCTGTAGGAAACTATCTAAAAGACTTGACAAACAAAATTCTAAAATAGTATATTCACTAAAATGTGTGGCAGTCTGGTTTAAACACTTGAAGCTTAGAGGAGTTTTGTCTTCCAGTAAAAACTAAATGAATGAGTATAGGGGTCAGAAAGTCAGAAAGAGATGGAGCAGTTTAATCTTTAATACACTCTGGAAACTAAACCACCAGCTCTCCTTCCAAGACAGGGTACCACACTGCAAAGAAATTTCTGAGAATAGAATTAAAATTAAGGAGGTCAGAAATAATACAGAAGAAGGAAAGAGAAGATCCATGTAAAAGTAGGAGAACCAGAAGCAGGAATTTTAAGCAAGTCACCCTATTTCTTTAACATATGTAAAAACAGCAGAAATGAGGCTACTATGAAGTTTGAAAAGCCTCTCTGAATACATGTTTGTAAAGGATCAGGAGAACATTTCACATTTTCTTGTATGACAAACTCAATTATAAATAAAGAGCAAAATAAAAGATAATGGGAAGTAGAGGATCAGGAAATGAAAAGAAGAGGAAGGGGAAGAAAGGGGGATATAAAAGTAATTCAGAGTGTTATGTACATGTACCAACTCTACACAAGGAATGTAAACATGTACTACACACATGTACTAATAAAACATTTTTAAATGATTAAATTATGTTTGCACAACTCTTAATATATCACAACCCACTGAACCTATTTTAGTGTATGAATTTTATGGTATGTGAAATAAATCTCAAAGTTGTTTTTAAAAATGAACAGAATTATCAAGATTAAATCACACACAAAATTATTTTAAGGGGAAAAGATCATTTGAAAACACTGCAGAAAGATGTACTCAAAAAACAACAAATCTTAATCTGAACATATTTTTTTAAAATGAGTCAGAAGGTGTTTTGAAAATAACAAAACAGGGAAGGACCACATAAAGTAGAATTAGAGAAACTTTAGAAATGTGGTAACAACTTCTGGAAAGGAATAATTTCAGACAGGAAAGCTAAAGTAGAAGACAAGAATGAATAAACACAAAAAATGCTCTACTGAGGTAGAAATGGAATATTTTTAAAAGCTAAGGAAGTGAGATTTGAGATAAAGTGACATATTAAAGATGGCAAAAAAGATCTGGCATATGAATAATGAGAGTATCTGAAGAACAACGCAAGGAAAAAGAATAATGCTAAAAACTAATATTAAGGAAACTTTCCTGAAAGTAAAAAAAAAAAGATGAAAAAGCATACAATATAGCTGAGAATTTTGACCCAAAATGACCAATGCACACATTCTAAAAAATTATTAGACTTCAAAGAAAAAATACTATGGACATCTCAGTAAAAACAGCACATGACTGACTTACAAAGAGACTTACATTACCTTTAAGTTTTTCTATACTCATACTTTATGCCACAAAAATATAAATTTCTCTCTCTCTCTCTCTCTCTCTCTCTCTCCCTCTCTCCCTCTCCCCTAAAGCTCATGTAAACATACATTGTAGGAGCTTGTTTGCTTCCTGTAAGTATGGTGGTCCACTTCCCGAGGTATGAAGGAGCCAGAGAAAATAATTTGAAAACAAAACAAAAAAAATTATTAAAGCACAGGGCTGGCGACACAGCCTCCAGTAGTCAGTATGGAAGACTACACACCTTACAGCTAAAGGGCAGGGTTTTATCCTGTAAAACTGCAAACATCTGCTGGTCTCACAATGCAGGCAGGGTGGGTTCTCAGCACACTACAGGACAGGAACATGGAGGTTGCATTTCTTGGGAAGAACGAGGTTCAGGTAGGGGTTGGGCTAACAAGCAAGTTTAAATTAGGCAAACATCCTCTGGGGAAGGCACATGCTGCAAACAAGCAAGTTTAGATTAGGAAGACATCCTGTTCTTCTGTTAGAGTTACCTTTGATCTTTCTCTTGCCTCTGAGGAGATTTATGAGGGTTTTATATATATATATATATATATATATATATATATATATATATATATATATGACCTTTAAGACGTTAGAATCTCCTCACTTCTCACTATTCAGTGTTTTTGTAATTATTCCTTGACTTAATTTCAAAGAGGACTGTTTTCAATCCGGCTGGTCCTTTCTTTTGCCTGTGGAAAAAATATATAGTAAATATTTAAGATATCCAAAAGGTTAGAGAACAAAAAGCCTTATAGTACTGCATATGAATTCCTGGAAAATTATGCTTAAAAGTAAAAGCACATACGACTGATCTATCCACCAAAGAGGTTCACAAGCTAGGCGTGGTACTTGTAATCCTAGCACTCAGGAGGCTGAGGCAGAGGAACACTATGAGTTGGAGGCCAGCCTAAATTACAGAATGAGACCCTGTCTCAAAAAACAACAAAAACAAAGGCTTAGAAACAAGAGCTAGCCCAGTAGTGATGAATATACCTAGTAACCTAGATTGTATATGAAGATACCATTCCCATTCTAAGAAAAAAATCAAGATATCTTAGATAGCTAATTTCAGGTATAGGACAGGATGTGTCTGAGATTAGTTTGGAAAAATTAGGCATGAACAATAGGGAAGAAACTTTCAAAGACTACTAGGATTATATCACAAGGACTCAATAGCCAGTTTGATGTTTTCATTGGCCAGTTGGGCTTAAAAAAGTGTATGAATTTAGTGACTAGGGATATAGCTCAGTGGTAAAGCACCTGCTTACCAAACACAGAGCCCTGGGTTCATTCCGAGTAGCACACACAGCAAAAACAATTGATAGTAGTAGTGAGTACATTTAGTGGCCAAATCTTGATTGCTTTTAAAATTTTTATTCACATACAAATTGTACATGTTTATAAAGTATCATGTGATCTTTCAATACTGTGTATATCAGTGTTCAAATCAGGATAAATCTTTTTCCACAGAGATACGTAATTTGTCATTGTAAAAACATTCAAAATCTATTTTGCTAGCTTTGTGTCTTTTGAGTGCTGGGGATGGAACCCAGGGCCTTTAATTTGGCAGGTACTATACACTGAGCTGAAACACCAACCCTTTTCTAGCTGTTTTTTCAAATACACAGTAGATTAACATTGTCAGTCACCCTGCTGTGTAATAGAGCACCAGAACCACTTTTCCTACCTGATAATACCCATTAAGCCTTTCCCTATATTTCCCACTTTCCCCAATCTCTGCTAACCACCATTCTATTCTTAAGTCCTATGAGATCAAATTTAATTCCACTTGACTGAGTTCATGTGGTACTGTTCTCTCTGTGCCTAGCTTATTTCAGTTACCATGGTGTCACATTTGATGGGATCTCAACCTTTTTATTGCTGAATAGTATTCCAATGTGTATATGTACATTTTCTTTATTCATTCCACAATAGGTGGCCACTTAGGTTGATTGCATTTTTGGGCTACTGTTGAGTTCTGTAATAAACATGGGAGATTTCTGTTTAACAGACAGATTACACTTCCTTTGGATATATGCCAGGTCTGGGATGGCTGGGTAATGTCATTCTGTTTTTAATTTTTGAGGAACCTTTTCACTGTTTTCCATAGTTAACATCTTAATTTTACTGTAAATTTAAAATTTTAAAGTTGTTTTTTGTGTTTTGGTTTTGTGTGTGTGTGTGTGTGTGTGTGTGTGTGTGTGTGTGTTTACTGGGGATTGAACTCACGACCTCACGTTTACCCAGCAAGCGCTTGAGCCACTGAGCTAAATCCCTGGCTCTAATGTTAAATTTTTTAAAGTATTTTTAAAAAGCATTGCAGTTGATTGAAACCTATTAAATATGTTTAATGTCTTATTTTTCTCTCATTGCTGAGACAAAATACCCTGTGCCACAAAAAAGGAAAGGTTTATTTAGCTCACAGTCTGTAGAAGTTTTAGTCCATAATAAGCTAGCTCCAGGGCAGGGCGACATGGCATAGTAGCGACAGTTCAAGACAGCAGAAGATACCAAAAACAAAAAGAGCAAAAGTGGGTGGGGGAAGCAATCTTTTTTACCTCCCTTATATTGTAAGCCAGCCACCTGCCCGTGAGTGGGTATAGCTCATCATCTCCTTGCCTTCCTCTTGCACAGGCTCAGTATGTTTAGAAAGTGAGGACCCTGGCCCCCTGCTGAGTCACTTACACTTCTGAACTTCTCAGGCTGACACAATGAACATTTTACAGGGATAGGAGCATGCCCTGTAAATATTAGGATATAGAACTGCTGAGTTACTTAGTTAAGTTTCTAAACTTCTCAAATTGACACAGTATATCAGATATTACAAACCACCCCTTGGCAACTTGGCAGTCAGACACATTTCTTTAAACTAGTTTCCAGATACAATGACATGCTTATTATCATTTCACAACTTGAATATTATAACACAGATTTAAAACTCCTTAAGAACCAGTACTAAGTCTATCAGCGTTACATTACATTAGAATCATAACATCCCACCTGTGGCCCTCACAGACTTACGCACATCCCTTTATGCAAAAGGCATTTGACTAAGAGTTGCCAAAGTCCTAACAGGTTCAGGCACAAAGTCCAAGTCCAGAGTCTTCTGAGATGTAAGGCAAACACTTAGTTGCAAGCCCCTGTACAAATGAAAAATTAGACAACGTCCACCATTCAGCGGCACAAAATAAACATTTTCATTCCAAAAGTTAGAAATGGGAATACAAAGGATTGGTACCAAAACAAGTCCAGAATCCAGCAGGGCAAACAGCAAGTCCTGTAGTTCCACATGCAGCATTTGAAGCAATCTGTGGCAAATTGTGAGCTCCAAAGGGCTTGAGTGACTCCACCCTTATGGCACTTCTGGTGGTCACAGTTCCCACAGCTTCTCTCTTAGGCGTGCTTTGCTCCCTCCTTTTATCTTTCCTTAGATGATCCACATTCCTGGCTGAGGTTTCCACTGAACCTTCAGCTTCACACTTGGAGCTTCACACACTACTCTCTCAGGAGCACACTGCCTGAAATTGGAGTGGAAGCCGTTTTAACTTTTAACTCTTGCTTTCTGTATGCACCCAAAACCAGCACCACATGGGTGACACCAGGGTCTGCTGCCAGCTAGAACAGTATGCAGGTTTCTTTCCTCTTGGCTGTAGAGATCAAGTGCCTGGATTGCTGGTCATTCTGAATCAATTTCTTTCTTTCTTTCTTTCTTTTTTTTTTTTTTTTTTTGGTCTTTTTGAGAGGGTTTCTCTATGCAGTTCAGGCTGGCCCTGAGCTCACTTTGTAGCCCAGGCTGGTCTTGAACTCAGAATGATCCTCCTGCCCCAGCCTCCCGAGTGCTGGGATTATAGGCATGAGCCACCACACCCAGCCCTGAATCAATTTCTGAAGAACAGATTTTCTATGCTGCCACCATTCTGGCACACGGTGCTCTGAGGCTTTCTGAAAGCAGAACCTTACACCTTTGCACTTTTGAGGCTTTCAGGGTGGAAACTTGCTGCTGCTTATGATGTCCTCTGGCTATCTTATATTCTCCTGTTCCTTCTCAGCAATTGAGAGATCTCCTCAGCTGTACCTTTGCAGACAACAACACCTTTGCTGGATCTTTCTGTCCAAACTCACAACATTTTAAGTCATCCTGCTGGGCTCCTTGCTCTTTGATTTTCAACATAGATGTGGCTCAAAGCCCCAATCAGCAACCATGCTACAGCCTCAACATTCAACTGCTCTGAAATTTCTTCTGCCACACTAGTTAATCTGTCACCCTCAGTCTCAGACTCAGGCAAAATCTTGACACAAGGAAAATGAAGATAAGCTTTCTGCCAAGCTATAACAAATCATCTGGGATCCAACAGCCAGTATAGTCCTCCTTAGCAGAAATGTCCCAAACCTGATTTTTACTGGCAGGATTTCTATGAGCCTCTCTGGTCTTCTGAGCTCTGACCAGAATCGCCAATACAGAACAGCATTTCAGCTCTGCTCTTTGAGGCAATATCTCCTAACCTTTCCAATTTCTAAGCCCATAATTATATTTTAAAACAAAAACAGATTGGTATAATAGGGAACCTGGTAAATGATAGGAAAGAATCTTGTATTCATCTTTTGCACTGGCTGACTAAACAGTGATAAATGAGGGGAAGCTCCTCTTTATAAAAGTACTCCAGTTATAGCTTCCATGGCTTCTCTCTCAGGCATGCTTTGTTCCCTCGTATCTGTCCTTAGATAGTTGCCTGATTTCATTGCTTTTAGTACTGTGGTGAGGCAGGACATCAAGATGGGGAGCATGTAACAAAGCAAAGCTCCTCGTCATGATGGCTGGGAAGCAAAGAGGGAAAGGGGGCTGGGGCCCCACTATCTGGTTCAAACACATCCCCAAAACTTGAAGACTTACCATCAGGTCCCATATCCTAAAGGTTCCACCAGCTTCTTCAATGGAACATTGGTTTATTTCTTTAATATATTTGAGTAGTTTCCAGTATTTTTTTATTTTACAATAAAGAGGTTGAAAAGAATACCAGAGGGGCTGGGGATTTAGCTCAGCGGCACAAGCGCCTGCCTTGCAAGCAGGCAGTCGTGAGTTCGATCCCTGGTACCGATAAAAACGAAAAAGACAAAAAAGAAAATGAAAAAAAAAAAAAAAAAAGAAAAGAATACAAGTTGTTAGATCAGATCCCCACACATTTCATTCTTTGTTATGTAGAATATTTCTCATGGCAAATTCAGGGTAGCCAGAAAAATACTGCTTTGGATTCACCAAAAAAAAAACAAAACAAAACAAAACAAACAAACAAACAAACAAAAAAAACCATGCAAAGAGAGATAGCAGTTTGTTCATTTCTTTTTAGTGTACACATTCTAGTAAGTTCCATTAGAACCTCAGAACGGATCTTAGCACATACAAAGCACATAAGCATTCTCTTCTTGTGGGTCCAACTGCCCTGTGGTTTTCAGTCTTAACAAAAATTGTATTACTAGGCCAGGTATAGTGTACACCCGTAATTCCAGAAGTCTTGAAGGCTGAGGAAAGAGGATTACAAGTTCAAGCCTAGCCTGGGTAACTTAGCTACTTAACTTGACCTTGTCTCAAAACGTAAAAAGGGCTGGAGATACAGATCAGTGTGAAGGCCTTTGGTTCAGTCCACAGCTGATGCATACATACACGTAACTGTAATAAAGGAAATGAGTGGAATAGGAAAAAATCACCTGTAGTCCCTCTTTCCTGGTGATTCATAAGTCGTAAAACCATAAATATTTTTCTTTTAGTTGGTTGTTGATTTTACTTTTATTGATAGTGATGTTTTTATTTTGAGGACAGGAGTTTTGGGCCATTAGCAAAAATTCTTTACCAAAATGGAATTCATTCTGGAGGGGACACTTCTGTGTTTTTAGCTTCTTGTGAAAACTACCAGAGCATCTTTTCTTACTATTTAGTATGTAATACATAAAGCAACAAAAATACTCTTCCCCACCTCTGCTGGGCCCCTTGTTCCCTTATCATCTGAGATTATATTGAGAGTGCAGGTGAACTCCCTACATTTTTGTTAGCATACTCTCAATATCATGCCCTTTTTTTCATTTTCTGACTTTAGTTGATTTCAGAAGAGTGGCTCAGCAACAGGAAGATGAAGAAAAGGAAAAAGAGGATGATGAGAAGGCACTCCACAGAGCGCGGGAGTGGGATGACTGGAAGGACACCCACCCAAGGGGCTATGGCAACCGACAGAACATGGGGTAGTCTTCCCACAACATGATAGGACTCTGGGGCATGGATCTTTCCTGCCAAAGAAACTGCCACCATGCCTTCCCCGGCTCCTGCTTCTCCTGTGTACAACGAAGGCAAAGATGCTGACTCTTTTGCTTTGCGTTCAATAAAGTGTCAAGCAATTAAGTGTGTATTTGTACCCTAGGTAATAACCAGTGAACTTGTTTTCAGATTACTAATTCTCATCATGGTGTATTCTGATTTCTTAAGTGGACAGAAAAGTACACTGAGAAATGGCTCTGTATAATCAATGGTGTATGAATTCTCTTTAAAATGAAATAATAAAATCTCTCCCATGAATCTGTGCAGAAATGTGGTTACCTGCTGCTTTCTTGTAAGGGATGTGGTGTGCAATGAGTCTATGGGCTTATGATTGAGATCCCAGTCACCTGCCTTTGTCCAGGGCAGGGAATTTTCCAGCATCAGAGCCTCCCAGACATTTACCTTCTACCTGGGCACATGGTGTGAGCTGCAAGCAACACCCCTCTCTTAAGAAAGTGCAAAAGCCAGGACTTTCCCAGCCACACAGAACTGTTTCAAGAATTAGAGCCGTAGGTGAACAGACCATTGAGGATTAGAGGCTGTTTTCCAATCCTACCTGATTTAGCCTTATTTGCTTTGGCTAGAAGAGACAATTGCTCCAGAGAAGGTGCTGTGAGAGATTGTGTGATAGTGGCCAGGCCCTCATGGAAACATTGACCTAACCGTCAGGGTAAAGCATCAACCTCAGGCTTCAGTCTAGCTCTTACAGTGGTCACCTTAGACCCTGTTGGCCCCCCTTGCCTATGTCATGTGATATCTGGCAGGCAGAACTGGTGTTCCGATGTGTCATGGTTTGTTGGCTGGTTAGGTGCCTGTGTGGGGGTGTGGAGGAGGAGGAAAGCACAGATGACCTGAAAGCTGACTTTCTGGAGTAGAGACAAGACACTGTCCTCAGCTCTATGAAAGGAGCCATGTGTTGAAATAAATGATCTGTACAGGAAACAGCCTTTATCCTATGGCTTTGATACACTTCGGTTTTCTTTTTAAGAGATTACTCATCCCTAACTTCTGCAATCTAACAGGAGAGGGGTTTGAAAAGGAGACTTTTCTTGTGGGTGGAAAGGGCTGCCAAGTGATGAGAAGGTTCCGTTTTGTGGGCAACGACAGGAGGACTACTAGTAATATATTTGTACACTGCTGACTCCAAAGTCTCATCTTATTCTCATACATAAGCACTCCAAACTAGTGGAGCACAGATTAAATTCCCTACAGATTAGTAAGCAGATGATGTTTTCAATTTACCTCCAATTGTTGCCAGGCTGCCTTTAGCTATGTCCTGTTTCCTGCCTTTGACATTTTTATCCTGAGTTCATTTCCCAAACCTGGCCAGGTTGGGGTCTCCTCTTGGTCTGGGTCCATCTACGGTTGGACCTTCCAGAAATTCCAGCTCAATTAAGCTCCCATACTCTTGATACCCTAGAGGCAAACCAGACAAGGTGGGTTTGAATTCTGGCCTTACAAAATGCAAACTATGTGACATTGGGCAATAAAACCAGAGCTATTTGCTCAGTGTATGTAGATGACCCGTCTTCTGGGGCTGTGAGAATTATTGGATAATAACAGTCATCTCTTAAGCAACTAAAGAATAAAGGCTTTCTGTTGGTATCAGCTTAATGGTTGTCATCTGTCCACTAAGAAGGGAAAGGAAATGGACAGATGTTAACTCCCTAGTATGCACCAAGTGCCATCCTGACTGTTAACATAGTGACTATACAAAAAGGTTGCATTATTCCCAAAGGCCAGAGAAGCTGAGTGGGCTCCTGAAGTTCACACTTGTAAAACACCATGCTTGTCATTTGCCTCGTGCTTACCAGTTGGAAGCAACTTTAAAAACCCAAACTCCATCCACCACTTTATACCCAAATGGATTTCTATGAATTCCTTCTTAGCTGACTCACCAAACAAAAGGTTATGTCAACTGGCCTGCCTCTGCACTGGGGGATTTAAAGCCAAGCGAAGGACATGAGCAGGCCCACCTTTCTCCATCCTCCCAGCTTCATTCTGCCAAGAGACTTGCCAAGAGGCAGTTAGCCTGCTGAGAGACCAAAGAGCACCACCTTTTACACTCCCACCAGAGCCAGGCCTTTCAAGTGTCCTAGACTGAACTCAGTTTGCTGGTCTCTCAGAAGCCAGGACTCCTCAAAGTTTCAACTGATAACAATACTGCTTCATTGTTGGCAAAATACTTTCAACATTGCTGATTGTGCATATTTAGGAGTGTGCTGTGTTTATGTGCTTATACAGATGCCACTGATTTCATTCTCCCAGCATGTCAGGAAAGATATGGTACCTTCATTTTCCAGAGGAAGAAACTGGCACTGAGAGATGAAGAGCCTACAGACATAGCAACTTAACCAAAGTGCCTGCCCTCTCAGGGCAGGAAATTACGTTTGGAAGGTGAATGTGCGACATTCTGCCTTAACATCATCACATGCTGATTTTTCCTTTCTATTTTTGCTCCTCTCAACATCCTTTGAGGAACGCATGTTAGGGAGCTGATTGTAAATTTAAAAAATGGAGCTAAGAATCTTGAAGTAGTCTCATTTTTTCTAATACCTCCCACTCCCAAGCTGAGCAACCCCTTCCTCCAAAAGTCTACTTCTCCATTTAAAATGACTTGAAAATGGAAAAATATTTAAAACTAAAACCACTTCTCTGTGTCACCTGAATTCACAAATCCAAAAAGTTCTCTTCCATTTCCTCTGGGCCTCAATTTGGCTCATCTGTTGCCATATATATATATACATATATATGCATATATATATATATATATATATATATATATATAGTACCATGTTGCTACCATGATCTTGCAAAACAGCTCTCTCCAACACTTGCTCATGGTTTCTTTATACATTCCTGTCAACCTACTGAGCCAAGATGCAACTGGAACTAGCACAGTTCACTCATGTTCCAAAACACGGAAACATGAGCCTCAGTCTCAGCTGCGTCACTATATCTGACCCAGTTCTAGATGCAGCCAACTCGTACCCGCTTACTCACAGGCCACAGTGAGGAATGAATGAGACCAAATATGCAAAAGCACTTTGAAAAGTTATAAAACACTACAGAAAAAGAGACAGATTAAGTCAGAGGGGGAAATGGTGACACATACTTGTAAACCCAGCTATTCTGGGAGGTGGAGCCAGTAGGATTGCAAGTCTTATTCCAGCCTACCCTGTTTAGTGAGACCCTATTGCAAAATGTTTTAAAAATTCATTTTAAAAAGTTTGAAGGAAAAAAAAATTTAAAGTGCTGGGGTTGTACCTCAGTGTGAAAGCCCTTGCTAGCTTCAATCAAAAAAGTAGTCAGCTGTTGGTAAAGTAGGGGGACACAGATGGAAGTATATATATTTAATATATATATATATATATATATATATATAAAACTTTATATATATATATATATATATATATAAAACTTTATATATATATATAACTTTATATATATATATAATGCAGTGCTTGAAGTCTTTTAGAATTTTTATATGAAAATATTTCCAAATATTTGGAAAATGGTGTTACAGAAATATAATGAATGCCTATTTACCTATTAGCTTCAACAACTTATCAACTCCTCACTAATCTTATTTCCTACTTACCTCTTTTCTGTTATTAAGGAATTGTTTTTGTTGTTGTTGTTTTGGTTTGGTTTTGAATATGATGGCATTGCAATTTGTTAAAGAAGGGTCTCTTTCTGTTGCCCAAGCTGCTGAGAAAACCCTTGTGTTTAAGCAATCCTGCCTCAGTCACCCAAGATCTGGGACTACAGGTATGTATCACTGTGCCAGACTTGTGATTATATTTTTTCTTTTATTTTGAGAGAAAAAAATAATAAAAATAATGTTACAGAATTTCAAAACAACGTAAGAGGTTAACAATGATTAATATTGCATAGTTATCTTCAAAGTAGTTGCTCAGATTATAAGAAATAGGCATGAAAAACTGATCAACAGTATAAGCACAAACCTTTCTATTCAATGAACTAATAACAATTAGTAGTGTAATTATCTTAGCTATCTTATGTGTATATACATGTATACTTTTTTCTTTTACCTTCCTTTCTCCTTTCCCCCATCCCAGTTGTTCTTTCCTTTTGAGTAGTTTGTTTCCATTTCACAATATCTATTGTACATTTTGGGTGTTATTTACTCTTTTAGTTTCTTACACCTGGGAGACAGTGTGATGTTTACATATGTGAATATAATTTATTTAATTTATGAGTATGGTCTCAAGTTGCATCCATTTACCTATGAAAGCCTCAAGCCTATTCTTCTTTATGGCTGACTAGTACTCCACTGTATAAAAATATTACATCTTAGCCGGGTGTGGTGGTTCACACCTGTAATCCCAGCACTCGGGAGGCTGAGGCAGGAGGATCATTGTGAGTTCAAGACCAGCCTGGGCTACAAAGTGAGCTTAACGCCAGCCTGAACTGCATAGTGAGACCCTGTCTCAAAAAGACAAAAAAAAAAACAACAAAAAAAAACCTACATGTTTCTTATCCATTCCTTGGTTGATGAATATTTGGGTTGTTTCCAAGATTTAACTATTATAAATTGAGCCGCTATAACGTGGGTGCATATATATTGCTGTAGCATGATGTTTTTAATTTTTCTGGGAAAATGCCCACGAGGGGAATCCCAAGTCAAATGGGATCTCTATCCTAGTTTCTGAGGAATCTCTACACTGATTTCCACAGTGGTTGTACTAATTTACACTCCCACCAAGAATGGGGAAATGTTCCTTTTCCCCACATCCCTTATTTCTTGATGACAGCCATTCTTTCTGGGGTGACATAGAATCTCAACGTTGATTTAATTTGTGAATGACCAATGATGGTGAAT